GGAATGACAAACATACAGCCCCAGCGCTAAAATCAGGCTGATGCCACGGGCGCCCGCAGAAAACTTTCTAGGGGGGGCAAAAAAATCGATTAACTTTCTAGGGGGGGGGGCAAAAATTTTTTAGTAATGTTTTAATGTAGTTTTAATTTACTGTAGAGTAGCCTATTTGTATGGTGAACGAACGGACAGGACATCAGCTTAGTTACTTTCTCTTTATTTTCATGTCTTCTGTGGCGCCCCCCCCTCCCCAACGGTCCAAGTATAGTAGTAGTAGTAGTAGTAGTAGTAGTAGTATACGATTAAATAAATCTACAGAAATACACGATTCAGTAAAAAAAAAAAGGAAATTAACTGAATATAGACGAGAGACCTAGTGGACATCTCCTTCCGATGAGAGTAATAAGGGGAGAGACCGCAATCAGGTTAGCACAATATAAAATGAGTAAAACAAATTAGGGTTAAACCTGAAAAAAAAAAGGAACGCAACAAAACAACGAACGTGTCGGCAGGAAGCCTTCGTCAGCGAACAAATCAGCAGATTAAAAAATAAAACAGTTTAAAATTAACAAACTTAGCTTAGAAGTATTACCCCGTGGGCAGCAAATGAATTGTCATATTTTGTTTTACTCATTTCATATCCTTTCGATGAGGTAGTCTGCACACCAGTTCGACATTAAGTCAGTTGGTGCTATCAAAACTTTTTTTTTTTTAAATAATAAGTTCTGTGTCCATAAAAGGGAATGATGAATACATTATTATATCAGGGCGATGTAGTGAAACAGGAAGATAGAAATGGGGGATTGGGGGTGGTAGGATGTTCCGACCCCCCGTGGTATCTTTCTCTCCTTATAGAGGTGCGGTATTTTTGGCCATGGCTGAACTTTGTAAGTGGAAAACTGGTGGGGCTCACTAGTCACTAACCCTAGCTACGTCACTGACAGCGATTTCATCAGTGAGCTGCCTGTCCACCGGCCATCCGGTCCAGTGTCGTCAGTCACAAACTTATGTATTTCATGTACGTACTAATAGATATTAGTTTTTAATTATTTTTTTAAATTGCTATTTTCGGCAAGTGGTTAAGATGATTATTTCAAACTGAACAACCATTTCACGCAAACAGGACAACATCCCCACCACCCCCCCCCCAAAAAAAAATAAATTAGTTTTTAATTATTTTTTTAAATTGCTATTTTCGGCAAGTGGTTAAGATGATTATTTCAAACTGAACAACCATTTCACGCAAACAGGACAACATCCCCACCACCCCCCCCCCCAAAAAAAAATAAATAAATAAATCAAAACAATTTTTAAAAAATAAAGAAGGAATGGGTGAAATAATTTATTTATAATTGTCTTAAATCATAATAATCGTAATATGGGTTTTATCCTTATTCTAAGAAGAACACCCCCCCCCACCCACACACACTCACACTGCACATAATGAGGGAAGCGTACATTTCATCGTCTTATCCCTTGGGAACACTTGAACGCTGCAGACCGTAATTCGGCGAATAGGACCACTACGCATCTGATATGCGGCCATGATTTCAAGAATACTTTAAAAACCAACATCCTGGTGACTTCAAGTTCCGCCACTGTGCGTGTGTGTGTGAGTGTCTGTGTGTGTGTTGTGTGTGGTGATGAAATGAATTTTGGTGTCACTTTACCTTACTCATCTACGATTCTATGCCCCTAGCTCTAGTGTTGTGCCTTTGTCAACAGCATGTGATTTTACCCTTAGCGCTAATGGTTCGTCATTTTTACCATCGTGTGATTTACCCCTAGCTCTAATGTTAACATCATGTGATTTTACCCTAGCTCTGATGTTAACATCGTTTGATTTACGCCTAGCTCTGATGTTAACATTATGTGATTTTACCCTAGCTCTAATGTGAACATCGTGTGATTTACTCCTAGCTCTAATGTTAACAACGTCTGATTGACCCCTAGCTCAAATGTTGCGACATGATTGTTAGCAGCTAGTGAAAACCTCGCGACGTCCATGCCCGAGCAAGCCTTGTCCAGACATGGGATCTCGTCATAGTGGATTCACCCACGACTCTTCACGCGTCGCTGACGGAGCCAGAGATGATTCAAGCCATGAAACTCTCAAACACCCCTATCTCTTCACTGGAACCTTTGGAGCCCGTGGCAATGTAAACACGGTACCGAAAACCGAGGAGGAGAGCATTGTGGCACACCACAGTGAGGACCTTTCAACAACACGGTCTTGTGAAGAAGAACACGAAGAGGATGATGATGATGGTGATGATGATGATGAGGCGAGTGGGGAGAAATCTGTGCCAACTTTCAACCCTGTTGATGAAGGATATTCCTGGGTGATAATGATTGGTGAGTATGCCTACCCAATAATTAAGGGAAAAAATATACTGAACTTTTCTTTAATGGATGTAAGTTAGAATATCCAAAAGCAATTATTATTAAATCTTCCATTTAATTGTTTAAGTCAGTATTTTGAAACTCCAATTCTCCGGTTTGA